GGGCTCCATTTCTGCCCCTGTGTCCCCAGCACACAGTAGGACCCCATCTCTGTCCCTGTGCCCAGCACCCAGTGGGGCTCCATCTCTGCCCCTGTGCCCCAGCACACAGTAGGGTCTCAGAAACACGTGGCCAAGCACCCCTGCCCCCCGGACCCCCTCTAGGGCAGGGGCAGGGCTGGAGACCCTGTGCTTGGTCCCAGGACGACCGCCCGCGGTCACTCAGTCAGTCCACAAGCACCATCGGGGGCTCCAGCGGAGGAGACAAGCCCCTGCCTCAGTTTCCCCGGGGGTGGGCCGGGCCGCGCTCCCAGGTCTGGGTCCAGGGTCCCACGGGCTCGCTCCCGGAGCTCCGGGGCGGCCTCACCTCCTGCAGGGACTCGGGCACCAGCGCGGGCACGATGGGCCGCTTCACGCCGCGCTGCTCCTTCTCCTTCTCGCCGCCCTTTTCCTTCCCGTTCTCCGGGTCTCCCTTCTCTGCCTGGGTCATGGTCGCCGCCGGCCCCCGGCAGCCCACCGGGTCCTCAGTCAGTAGGGTAACGGGGCGGAGGGGGTGGGGGGTGTCGGCTCACGGCGCAGGCGCACACGCAGGCGCAGACACTGCAGGCGCAGGCGCAGGCGCAAGACTGGGCGCAGGCGCAGACGCCCCTCGCGTCCCTGCTGCGGCTCCCACTTACCAGCAACCAAGATGGCCGCCTCCAGGGAGGCGTGACGATGAGCATTGTGGGACTGTGGAGGACTGGAGGCTGCCTAACGGGGGTTGGGCGTCTGCCCTATTTGAATGGAAGCTCCTTGGGGCAGGGAAGAATCTCCTTTCTCCTGCCTCTCCGGTGCTTAGCCTCCAGGCTTGTTTGGTTGATAGGTGTCCCGGTCCTGAAGCCCAGCCGAGGGTCCGCGGGGCCCTTCGTGGCCCTTGGAACAAGCTGTTACCTGCCCATTCCTCCAGGTCTTCAAATGCTTGGGGTAGACCCCCCCAACCCCCCCACCTGTTTGAGGCTTGGTGTATGGGGTGTTCAAGGAGGACCAGCAAAGACAGACAGGCCCCAGGACACAGGTGGTGCTTAATAAATGCTTGATTAGCATACCCCCACCCTTATCCCATGAGTGGTTTCCATTGAGGGCAGGGGGCTGTTTCATGCCTGGCATGCAGCAGACATTTAATAAATGTTTACTGAGCAAGAAGGTTGCATCTTCAACCATCCCCTTGTTCTCTCTAGTTTTTGACCCATCTCTGTCTTACTGGTTCCTCCCCATTGCCTCTATCCTTAAAAGACCCTCCCTGGACACCCACACTATCATTCCACCTCTTCCTTTCTCATCCAAACTGTTCAAACTCAGCTGAAATGGAGTAATCCGAAGTTGCCAACGATTTCTTAATTGCCACATCTGATGGTCTTTTCTCAGTTTTAATCCTTCTTGGCCCATTTGCTACATTTGACCCTGTTGAGCACCCTCTGTGCCCCCTTTGGGCTTTTGTGACATTGCTCTCTTCTGGTCCACCTACCTGTCTTACCACTCCTCAGTCTCCTTTGTTGGATCATCATCCATAGCCCCTCCCCATAACCCCAAGGTCGTCTTCCTTTGGTAATCTCACTAGCTGCCATAGGTTTAAGTATCCCCTTTCTCTCATCTCTCCCTGCCCTTCTCATCTCCTGCCTCCCTCCCTCTCTTCCATGCTTCAGTACAAGAACACAAATCAGTTAGACTATTTCCAAATGGATGTCCTAGAGACACTTAAAAGTCACTATGTTCAAAACTGGTCATTGTCTGTCTGAATGTGCCCATTTCAGCCAAAGATACCACCATCCTTCCAGGCTTCTAGGTTCACAACCTGGGCATTATCCAAACAGTAGCCCAATCTTGCCACTTCTACTTTCGAAGCTCTTCCGCCCAAGGTGGGCAGTGCCCTGTACCTGGAATACCCTCCCTTCTTCCCTCTCTTGCTTTAAGATGCAACTCGCCACCTTCTTCTGCAGAAGTCTTTTCTGCTCGACCCCCAGTGGCCGCTGCTGTCATCCTGCCCAAACTACCTGCCTGTGTCCAAGTCCGTTATATATCTGCACTTGCTCCTTATTTCTCCCCATGCAGAGAGTAGGGTTCTTGCAAGGAGGGATTTGCGTGTGTTCCTGGTGCCCAGCACACAGCAGGAAGCAATGATGCTGGTTAATTGATTGGGCAGGTGAGCACCTCTGCACTTTTCTTGTTTTCTATCAGAGAAAGGATTTTCCTCTGTCGCCTCTCTCTCACTGCAGTACATGATAGAATCCTCATAGATGGAATGGAATTCTAGCTGAGAAATGTCCAAAGATTCAACTTAATTCAACAACCTTTCTAAGTGCCTGCCACGGATGCTAGGCTGGGGCTGCAGACACAGAAACAAGTCCTGACTTCTTACTGAGGGGGATAACACGCCATGGACACTTAGCATTTGGGGCAGAGAAGGCACTACTCATTGGGGGTGGGGACGAGAGAAAGGCATTCCCTTGGGAGGTGGCACCACAGAGGCTTGGGTGAAGCCGGGGAGGCAGTGCCAGGCAGAGGGCAGCCTGTGCAAAACTGAGCAGCCTACTGTGTGTCAGGCAACTGAAGACTGACCCTTTCCCTATCCCACCTCACCCTCCAAGAGGGATTACAAGTTAAAAGCAGAAGATGGGGACTAGACCTGAGACTTCACTGGTCTGAGGAATTCCCAAGTGAGGAACCCACCCCCCCACCCCAGTCAATGCAGGTCAGCATCTTCTGTGCAGCCTTTTTATAGCTGGAAGAGTTGTCTTGAAGTTGTGACTCACCTAGTACCATAGCTAGCGTCACAAGTCTTCCAGCCTTCATGGGGTCCCAACAGGCCAAGGGGGAAAGTGAGGAGGAAGGGGAGAAGGAGGGGGCGGGGGAGGGGGAGGCAGGGGGAGGGGGAGCAGTATCGCAGCAGGCAGGGGCAAAGGTACCTGAGCTGGTGGATGGAAGGTCTTGGGGAAGGAACAGCCCGTGGGGCAGAGAGCCTGGGGGTACTAACCTGCAATCTGCCAGGGAAAGGTTGTCAGGAGAAGAGTCTGTCTGGGTCTGAAGGGAAATGAGGACTTACTGAGGCTTCTGGAGCAGGTGAGTTGGCCGGCCGGTGGCTTTAAACAGATTACTTGGCCAGTTCCAACAAGGCTAGAATTTGGGCAGAGCAGAAACCTGGAAGTTTGGAGAGGGGCTCAATCTTTCTTGCTGCCATAGATCCCTTCTCGGAAGGATTGTTTTTAAATGCCTAAAACACAGGGTTACAAAGGAAACCACTTATAATGATCACAGTATCTTCTGAACAAGCAGAACAAGTTGATGGACCCCTGAATTAGGAGGCTCTTGAAGGTGAGGAGGAGGAAGAAGGGATAAGCTAGCAGGCTGAAGCGTGTGTGTGAATGGCCAGAAAGGGACAAATGAAAGAGACGCAGGAAGCCTGGACCAGTGGTTAGATGGGGGAAAAGGAGTGACCGAAAGAGCCCTTTCAGAGGGGTTGTCCATGGTGGCAGCAATAAGGCTGATGCATTCTGGGCTTTGGGGTAACTTCAAGGGTGTGTGGGTGTGGGTGTGCTCAGGCCTGGACTGTTTTCCATTCCGTGTGGCCTACGTCTCTCTTTATTTAGAAGTACTGCAGAGTCACCTTAACAAACACTCACCCACACAATAAAAAAAAAACTCCTTTAAATTGCTTTCTCCCCTTGGATTTCCAAGTACATCAAAATTAGATTTCAATTTGTTATTGAAAATTAAAAAAATATATAACCTCACCCATGAACAATACTTCATTATTCAAAATATAAAGTTTGCATTTAGCCTTATTTTGTTAGGTTTCAGTTTGGATCTCTTAGGAATACAGGATTTTCCCCTAAGGTACAAGATGCCTCAGAACCTTGGGGATCTGTGCTTGATACAAACACAGACTATTTCAGGTACTCCCTAAGCCATGTTCTATATAAAAAGATGGAAGGCATCTCTATAACATGTTGGAAGGTCAAAAAGATGCCTGAATCATGCAGATCTCATATGGAAGCACAATGATTTCTTTATAAACAAAAGCAAAGTAGATAATGGAACACTGCTTAGGAAACTGAAAAGTGCCATGTGATTTATTTATAAACTAAGGCAAACAATGGAACATATTTAAGAAAATGAAAAATGACCATCCAGAGTACAACTAAGTCTCTCCTAAACCTTAAAAATAAACTTAATGTCTTTGTAGTGATGGTTTTCCCCTCAAATTTAGGGGACTGATGCGTTATCAAACAAGGCTGAATAAAGTCAAGGCTTTGCAAGCTGAAAATATTTACTATTAGAACTACATTAGGCTTTTCACAAACTATACAAAATAAGAAATAGTGAACATGTGCATTTATACAATTGCAATCAGTTACACCGGATCCCATCAGGTGGGAGTTCCCAGTACAACATCATTGATCTGTGTAGACACAGAGCAATCCTTCAGACACCGAGCCCTCCACTGCTCCCAGGCCAACACGGGATATTCTTTTCTATCGTCCGAGGGAGGGTGTGTCTTCTTGCCTGCTTCTCAGAGCAGGCGTTTACCTAGCAGAGAAGAACACAGTTAGCTGGAGCACTGAGAACATTTCACACCCAAGCGGCCATCTGAGGTAGTCAAGCTACCATCCTAACTAAATTAATAAAATCATCTAGGCATGTTGTCACTTTAAACAAAAACCTCATGGGGTTTGATGAAAATGAATCTATCCAAGTGTGGTGCTCTATTAAAACATCCTTAATAGTCAAATTAGAAATTGTTTTAGAAACAAAAATGCTTTAAATGACAAAATAGAGATCTAATTACCTTCCTCAGCCGCCGGCCATTGGAGGAGGGCTAGGGCCTTTCATGTGATTTATCCGGCCCATTCTGCGGCGAGGATTCCCCGGAGGCCTGTTAGGAAGGAAAGAAAGTCAGCCCATGAGTCTGTCGGTGTGCCTGCCTTGGTGAAGCAGCTTCCTCGAGAGTCTCTCCAAGGGGTCCCTTTTCTAGCTTTCATGTGTAGGATGCCATCCTCAAAGCTTAGTGGAGAAAGGAACTCCCACCAGTGAACCCCCCAGGGGGTGAACTGTCCTGAGCCACGGAAGTAAGAGGGGTTTAGGCTTAGAATACTATGTATTCCTGCAGAGAAACAGTGTTTCCAGTTAATCTACATGTTTATTTGCACTTAAAATGTTTAGCAGCTGGGTGGCGCCATAGCGCACAGAGGGCTGAGCCTGAAGTCAGGAACTCTTCTTTCTGAGACACTACCTGTGTAACCCTGGGCAAGTCACTTAACCCTATTAGCCTCAGTTTCCTCATCTGTAAAATAAGCTGAATTAGAAGATGGCAAACCATTCTAGTATCTTTGCCAAGAAAACCCCAAATGGAGTGGGTCATGAAGAGTCAGACACCACTTAACAACAAAACTTAAAATTTAATGAAGATTAGAGCTGGAAAGGCCCTTGGAGGCATCTTCATCTAGCCCCTCGTCTTACAAATAAACTGAGGGCCAGGTCATGAAGTCTTTTGCAGAGCTGGGGTTTGAACCTAGGGGCTTAGCCTGTAAATTCCGCAATCCCCAGCAGCAACACTATCTTTTTTTCTCAATCTAGATATTTTGACTTTCAAAAAGCAATGTACGTACCCTCTTCCATCATCGTATCGGGAATCAGATGAACTAACATAGCCTCTTTTTTTCACATCTTGTTGAAGCAGGCTTTTGAAACTGAAAAAGGAGGGGAAATGAGAAAGCAGAAAATAAACTTTTAAAGTAGGTACCAGTTTCAATCATACTTTCTAATGGATCTTAAACTGAAGAAAACTTTATGTTAAGGCTTGTTAGGAATTAACTGGTTAGCCTAAAATTAATTTCCAGAGTAAAGTCAATCAAAGCTAAGCAGGACCATGCTCCCGGCGATGTGGATATGCATTGCTTTGAAAGCTGCTTTGAACTAAACACTCCACAAACACCATGAGTGGATGTGTCTTTCAAAATAAAGATTTTAAGAGCTCAAACTTCCCAGGCCTCCAGACATGTAAAAGGCCTCCAAAACCTTCACATAAGAATTTAGTTATTTTTGGTTGCTATTGTACAAATCAAAATGCATAACACACACAAACCAAAACAGAGTTCTTTGGAGGGAAACCTCAGTGAGTTACATGGTCTTTGGTCTACAAGGATTCTCTCTTTTTTTCCTTTTCTTAAAAAAAAAAAGCCTCCTCCTCCTCCCCCAGGGTCAAATACATGTGCTGGCACTGGAAGAAATGCTGGTTGAATCTGCAGGTGTTGGTATAGCGTAAAATGATCCCAGATGGCCATGGTGCCATTGGGTGTCAACACCACCTGTCAGGAATCCCACCATCCATGGACTGGACTGTGCCTGACACACGGGTTTGCAGCTCAGTGCTTCAGAACTGACTTTTTAGTTTAAGAGATGGCCACAAATTACCAATCATTCGTGATAAAGCAGCAATGAAACAGAGTTAGATCCAAAAATTACTTAGGAAAGAAAAACTGAGTTTCTGACAGATCCCATCACAGAAGCATCACTGCACATTTCCACTTTAGAGGCAGTGCTGCCTAATGGGCAGATCACACTCTTCACGCTCTATACTAGTTTTGAGGCCGCGGGTGCATCCATGTAACTTCTGACGGAAGGGCTACCACACTGAAGGTACCCCAAGGCTCACAGTTCATCCTTGCAATGGGGACACAGCGGAGGGTTTAGGGGAGGATGGGGCTGGAGGAACTGGAGAACCTTGCTGATGTGGTGACAGATTCAACACCGGGAGGGCTAAATCAACAGACGTTGGCAGTCATACTCACAACAGAATCACAAAGTCAGCCACTCCCCAAAAGAGATCTGTTATGAATGACAGACTCCACAATGACCGGTGCCGGCTGTCTAAAACTTGTCCTGCATCGATGACGGAAAAACAAACAAGGAAATCAGCAACATCCTCATCGAGAAAGAGAGAATTTATAACAGGTATGACAGTAAAATATCAAAATAAACACTGCATTAGTCACCACCTACTAGCAGATTCAGGCTTTCAAGTGTACATTCTGGGTAAGACACCCCAAACCCAGGAAGCCTGGACAAGCCAAGCCCCAGACGGGTGATCTGAACAATGACCTAGGCCTTTGTTGCAGAATCTGACCCCCCTCAACTCCTCACTAACACACAGCACCACACACAGAGCCACCACCAGGCCCTGACTGAGATGCACAAGCCTGCCACCTTTCTTTCCTCCTGCCTGCTCAGACACACCCCTGAAGGGCCCCTCCCAGAACCTTCCTTACAGCACCCACCCACCTCCAGAACAATGAGAACACCTATGGTCTTTGCACAGTGAGCCCCAAGCTCCATCTGGCCAGCCTGGGCCTGATAAGAGCCCGCTTGCCTGCCTGTGTGGAGGTGTACTGGGCTCTCAGTAGCTACAGGTCAACAGAATGCCATCTCCATCTGAGCCTTAGGACTCTCACAAACTCTTGGTTCCAGCTGGATTCTCCCTTGACACCCTTCCCTATACAAGCTCGCGATGACCTGAACACCTCCACATTTTTGCCTTTGATTCTACATTCCCTACTCCTCCTCCAACAGCTTCGGGGCAGGTGCCTGCTGAAAGCATTGGTGCTCTCTCAGCAAGTTTGACAATTGGGCCCTAAAGGCATTAGGACCTCACTCGTTTCAAAACAAAATAAATACCTTTATGCACTAGAAAGTAAAATTTTCAGGCAGAAAAAATATTATTTCTAAAAGCTGTATTTGAACAAGTGAGCCTTGTTGTATTCTCCCTGGTATTGGGTCTCAGAGGGTCCACTTGGCCTCCTCCTCTTCTAGGATGAGTGACCGCCCGTCCTTCTGCCTTCCTACCACTCCAAGGCCTCACCACCTCCTTGCCTCTTCACTGGGCACCCAGGCTAGGCTGGCACCTGGGCATTTTCACCATGTGTGTATATGCCCTAGGGCACCCTGGTGAATGACCTTACTTAGGTCATTCCCACTCTGCTAAGGGGCTCTCAGGCAAGTTAAAGGGACAGTGGGGCTGCCACCCACTGCTGGACAAAGTTACAAAAGTGTGCTAAACGGGCCCATGGTAATCATGCCAATAAACCTAACCTGACGCTACAGGGGGGGAAAAAAGAACTTTTAACAGAATCAATGATTTGCAATCATTGCTTCTGAGAAAGCAAGAACTGGGCCAAGTCTTTCAAAGGCAATCACAACAGACAAAAAAAATAAAAAACAAAACAGTAACATCTGAAGCCCTGGAAAGTGCTTATATCCAGAAAAGGGAGAAGACTCTATTATCCCTACTGAGTCTCAAATCTTTAAGTATCAGAAGAACAAAGAGATTCCTGGGGGTTCAAAAAACAAAGAAAAAATATCTAGAGTATGGGGAGAAGGAAGGAGAAATTTCCTATTTCTTATAACAGTAAGATAGTAATTGGGGCACCATAGGAAAATAACTTTTCAAACATGGAGGGGGTGGTGGTGGATAGAGATAGTGTGAATCTCACTTTAATCTGCTCTGGGTTGGGTAAGGTTCAAAGTTGGTTACCCTGGTGGAAATTCAATGAAGTTAAGCAGGGAACTAGGCCGGGACAGGGAGTGGAGCAGGGGACGGGAAAAGGGGTAGGGGGGACTCAAGCCAAAACAAACTAGCTATGGGTAGGCTGACAACAAAAGAAAAAAATGGCCCAACCCAGTGGTTTGTGTCCAGCCTAGAAGAGGGGAGAGGAAACAGACTGGGGTCTGGGGTTGTACTACGCAATATAAACTAGATACCTACGGCTGAGGTCGCTCTTTTTTTCCTTTCTTTTTTCTTCTGAAGAAGTGGGGGAAAAAAGAGAAGAAGTATTATAACAGATTTGATAGTGAGAAAAAAAAATCAACTTAACAGTCCTAACTGGGACTGGGAACGGGGGGGACTAGCTGTAAATACACGATCGACAGTGAACCTGAAGGTGGAATCCAGTCTAAACAACTGGTTTATTTTACAAGTACAAATTGAGAAGACTCATGAAGACTTAGCAACGATTCCCGAGCAGACTCCAAAAAAAAGCAGGCCTAGCCTAAATATTTGAGAAGACACCAGTAAAACAGACATGGTCTGAGAGCCTAGAGTCTATGCCACGAGGACCAGGTGAAGAAAACTGGGGGGAATCTGGCCTGGATGAGAGAAGACTGGGAAGACTGTGCTTTATCTCTCATCAAGTATGGGCCAGGCTGCCATGTGGAAGGGGGGTGGGGGTGGTCAGCTTTGTTTTGCTTGGCCCCAGAGGCCAGAACAGGTGCAAGGGAAGGGAGGGAGGCAAAGAGAAGCCTAGATTCAAATGTCAGGAAAACCGTCCTCCAAAGAAGAGCTGGGCTGAAGTGGAGTTGGGGGCTCCCCCTCCTCAGAGCTCTCTCAAGAAGAGACAGAAGGGTCCACAAGGCGGGAATTCTTGTTAGGTTTCGTGGACTCAGTGGCAAATGAAGTGTCTTGTCGTTCTGAAATTCTGTGGGTCCCACTCACTACAAATGGGCACGAATGAAGGAGTTTCTGGGTCCTCATTAACCAGGGATCTGGATTCTGGGGGTACTGCAAAGCTGACCAAACTGTCAATTCCTGGTAAAATTCATGGAGACCAGCCTCTGAAACTGAGAGCCACACCTCTCTAACGCCTAGTCTGTGCCTTTGGCTTCTACTTGCTCACTGGTTACTTCCTCTTCAATCCCAGGGTCCATCTCTCAAAGGACAACAATGATTTCTTAACTGCTAAATCCAATGGCCAGCCTTGCCTTTGTTACAGGAAGTCTTTAGAGCACACACTCCACCAGTACCTTCCACAGAGAAAGCTTTCTCAGGGTTCTATCTCATTGGGTTTCCTGCACAGATTTCCCTTCCTTTTTTTTTTCTCCTGCCCCTATCAATGTTCCCCAAAACTTGGTAGTTGATCTTCTCCTCCTTAGGCTGATTTCATCCATTTTGAAAGCCAAGTGTAGGCTTTACCTGGCGAATGAATGATTACCAAATTTATCACTTTCAGCCAGATGGCTGTCAGGCTCCTGGTCCCACTTCTAACTAATGGGCATCTGCATCAAACCTCAGTACTTTCAGAACCAAATTCAGCACCTGTCACTTCAAATCAGCTCCTCCTCCTCCTCCTGACTTCCCTGTTTCTGTTAAAGATACAACCATCTTCCCAATCCCCCAATGCTTGAAATCTCAGCCATCTTTGTCTCTTTTCCACTCTCTTCCTCCCATATCCAACAATTCCCCAAATCCCATCGATTCTACCTCTGGAATCTCTGACATCTGGTATTTCTTTCAAACTTCTACCACCCTTGTTCAGGACCCTCCCTGCTCCCCCTCCCCAGCTGGAGGGAATGGAGAAGCCTCAGAATCCTGCTCCTACCTAACCAAGAGCATCCCCAAGTCTGCCAGCAGCTTTCATGAGAAGACCTCCAGTGAAGAAAAGCCACTGCCTCAAATCCAACTTGCTCTGGACAGTCTTTACTTAGGTTAAACTGCAGACTGCCTCTCGGCCGCTTCCAAGTTGTGCCCTCTGAGGCCAAGCAGAAGAAGTATGGCAAGGCTTTCAATGCTTGAAGACCGCTCTCAAGGCTCCAAATTCTCTCTTCTTCACATTAAAACACGCTCAATTCCTCCCACTAACTCGCCTAAGGCAGGATCTGAACGATCGCTCTCTTATCTTCACCAGCCCAGCAGCAGGTCCACATATCCTTCCTAGTATGTGACCCAACAGCATATCCCCCAGGTGTGGTCAGGTCAGGGCAGAAAGCAGAGGGACTCACTCTCTCCTCTTCCTCCTCCTCTCTCTGTCTGACTCTCTCACCTTCCTGGGTGTGTATCTGTGTGTGTGTGTGTGCGTGTGCGTGTGTGTGTGTCTGGGCTTGCCTTTCTGGGGGCTCCAATTCCACTGAACCTAGAATTGTGCCCCCAGACCTTTACCAGATAAAAGTTATCTCTGGCCACACTTCCTCCACCTGCTACTAGTGGTGAGGATTTTCTGAACCCGTATGTAAGATTTAAGTTTTATACCAAGTAAATTTCATCTTCTTATGCCTGTTCCTGGCTGGGTGGGCCTGGACCCTGCTGCCCAGACATGACAGGCTACATCTCCCAGCTTCATGAACCCAGTGTCACCCAGCTTCAGATAGGGGCTGTCCTGCAGGGCTGGACTCATGAGCCTGAGATGGCATTTGGCTAGCCCCTATCTACCACAAATGGCTCTGAATTCCAGTCAATCATGATAGGCAATAGTCATGTATTGACAAAAGACAATTTTACAGCACCAGTGGTCTAGTTATGGATGGGTGTTGGGACAGCACAAGGTGTATGGGCCACACACAGCAAATTTATATATGATGGATAATATATCCATCACTTGTGACTGCAGGCTGCTTTACCTTACTGACTGAGGGGAAGGGGGGACAAGCCCAGATGGGTCCAGACCTCTGCCTCCTCTCTCCTGGGGCTGAAGGATAGAATCGGGGGTTTGGGGCTGGCAGTGATCAATAAGTCCTGTGGTCCAATCAGTGCTTTAAGCCCAGAATTCTGCCTCCAGAGCACTTCTCAGCACGTTTCCTTTGGGTCCACTCATACATGGCCACCACCTTAGCTGGACTCTGGAGAGGCTGTTCCCTTAGTTCCACCAAAAAAAAAAAAAAAGAGCCCCTAACTGATCTTGAACCTTTCAGTCACTCCTTTCTCTAACTTATCCCTCAAGAAGCTGCCAAAATAATCTCTCTAAGGCATGTGCATCATTCCAAAGCCTTCTATGGCTTGCTACTGTCTAAAACATAAACACCTCAGCCTGGCAGTTAACTTGTTTCCAATCTAATTTCACATCACTTCACACAGCTTTAGACTCCGCCAAAATGGGCTACCTGCTGGCCCTGCCCTGTCCTGCCATCCCATGGAGTTTGAAAGCACACTCTCTTCTGCATGCTGGGTTCCTTCCCTCTCAGGCCAAGACTCTGGATCAAATGCACTTTTTCTCCTGTGATCTTCTTTTTGCCCACCTCTCTTCTCTCTCCCACTTGACCTGGCATTATAATTAATTCAGTATACACTGACACAGCCTCCACCCTCACCCCAGCAAACTGGAAGGTTTTTGCAAGCAGTAATTGTTGTTTTTCATCTGTCTATCCCTTGTCTCTACAAAACACGGGGCAGGTGCTCAATAACTGGAACTGAAGGGCAAAAGAGTCCTGGCTCCATTTGCTAGCTAGGAGACTCTAGGCAGGCAAGTCTTTAAAACTCACTAAGCAAAACTCACTCTTCCTTTTCTGTAAAATGGGGATAAGGCCTTTAAAAATACACAAAGCTGTTGTCAAGAAAGGACTTTATGAACCAATACAAATGCACTAGAAGAGTACTCCCACTGTTGAAGCTTATGCCAAATGGGTGCTGTTTCCATACTCCAGAGAACTGAGACAAGAAGAGAAACCAAGTCAGAGCACCCAGTGGCAGATCCTGCTTGCACCCCTGACTAGCCCTGGGAAAAGCTCTTCCATCCCCAGCTTCTGGAAAGCAGGAAAATGTGGATAATACTGGAAACACCAGGGGCTGTTTTGAGCAAATAATCACTCTGCACGACAGAAATGGGAGCTGTCATCATTGAACTAAGCCAACAAAAAGTGAGCCACTTTAATTAATCACATTTCAAAGACTCAGTAAAGATTTTGCAAAGCCATTTCCTCCCAACAATCTTATTAGGGAAGTGGGGCAAGCATTATTTTATTCATGTTATACGTTGGGAAATTGAAGCTTTGAGACTTTTAGGGACTCTTGCCCACGATCAACTAGAGGCAACTTGGTATTATAGATAGGATGCAAATCCTGCCTCGGACCCACAACAGATGTGTCAGATGACACCAAACAGACTGTGACCCTGACAGCCTCAGTCTCCTCATCTGTAAATGAGGACACTTTGGACGAGATACCCGGAAAGTTAGTTACTTGTGCGTCAGGACCGTTTCATTCTTTGAATTTGTACCCTTGGCACAGTATGGCATCAAGTAGATGCTTAAGAAATGCTCCTCTGTGCTGTCAGGATCCCAAGTCTCCGAGGCTTAGTAATCGTCAATACACACAAAAGTTTGAGGATACAAGTATCAGGGAGAGTCTAAGAAACCGCAAACTTGTTACTGTTTTTATTTCCCCTTAAAAACAGACAGTGTCGACAAAGCATAAAGCAACACCCACAACCACCGCCCTTCGCTATTCGCCCCATCCCGAGTCTGGTGAGAAGGGTCTCGCGCTCGCTCCCGCCCCCAACCCCCTCCCCCTCCCCGAGCCCGGCCCGGCCCTCTTCTTTCCCCCTACAACCTCCTTAACTCCACCCCGAGAATGGGGCAGCCTCAGTTTCCTCTTCTGTCCCAGGCTCCCACGGGATTGCCTCGAGGACCCCCGGGGTCCCTCCAGCTGGCAATCTGGGCTCCGAAGCCCCTCTCCCTCTGTCCAGGACGGCTCCCTCCCCCACCTTCTCCGCGCCTCAGTCTCCCCCTCTTGCCCGGGGCAGCCTCGAAGGCCCGTGCCTCAGTTTCCCCCCGGCCCGAGGGGGGCTTAGAAGGCCCCGATCTTCCCTCCCACGGTGGGTGAGTCCCTTCCCCCGCCCTCCCAGCGGTGGCGCCCGGTCCAGGCCCCTCCCGGGCCCCGATAGCGCCCCTCACTCACCGTTCGAGATGTAGACCATGGCGCCGCTCCGGCCCTCGACCCTCGGCCCTCGGCCCTCGGCCCTCCGCCCTCCGCCCTCCTAGCGCCGCCGCCGCCGCAGCCGCTGCCTCCGGTGGTATCCTCCGGGCTTCCGCGGCCGCGCCGGCGACCCGCCTCCTCTGCCCCGGGAGCCGCTGACGTCACAGGGCGGTGTACACGCAGGAGCGATCTGGAAGAAGCTCATTGGCTGAGCGTGTGGGGGCTCGGCCCGAAGCCGCGCGTGCGCCGCCATGACGGCACGACGACAATGGTGGGCGGGGCGTGTGGGGGGGCGGAAACCGTGCGTCAGCACGTGACCGGAAGCCGCCCGGCCCTCGCAGCCCGGCTCGTGGCAGTTTCCTCGGAAGTTGGGGCTTCCTAGAGTTGAGAAACCGAGGTTTCCCGCGGCGAGGCGATGCCCAGGTCTGGGCGTCTGAGGCCGCACTGGCACGCGGGTCTCCCCGACTCCAGGCGCCGCCAGGAGGAAACCAGCGAGCCCGGTGTGGTGTTTTGGCGCCCGGGGTTTGTCCACGGCCGGGCAGGGTCCGTGCAGCGGGGGCGCCGGGGTCTGGGGGCGGCCCGAGAGCTGCGCCCCCTCCCCGCGAGCCCCTGGCAGCCGATGAGGGGATGGGGGGAAGCGCTTATGGAGCGCCTGCTGTATGCCGAGGGTCCGGGGCGGGGGCGGGGCGGGGCGGAGGGGCTTAGGCCCAGAAGGCCGGGCGACCCCTCTCCGGGACCAGGAGTGTCCAGCGGGTGACCCTCGGGCCCCCCCTCGGAACTGGTCTCATCCCCGGGCCGAGCTGCCGCGGACCCCAAGAGCCGGGGGTCCTGGGGCAAGCGTGGAGGGGAGGCAGGGGAAGGCCCCCGCGCTCCGGGGATTACCCCCTACCCGAGCGCGGCGTCTCCCCCAGACCCATCCCGAATTCTCTGCCCTTCGTCTCCCCTCCTCATCCCGCGGCCGCGTGCTGCCCCGCCCCCGCCGCCCGGCCGCTGACCCTCCCGGAGAGCGCGAGGCCCCGCCCATCCCGCCCCCCGCGCGGCCCCGCCCATCCCGCCTCCGCGCGGCCCCGCCCATCCCGGCCCCGCCTCCGCCCATCCCGGCCCCGCCCATCCCGCCTCCCGCTGCCGGCCGGAGCGCTGCGGTCACATCGGCTCCGTCCCGGCCTCGGCCTCTGCCCCAGACCCCAGCCCTCCCGCGGCGGCTGCTTCCCTGTTTGTGTGGCTTCTCCCTCTCGGGATGCAAACTCCTTGAGCACCGGGGACTGTGGTTTTACAGTTTCTGCCCCCCACGCTCAGTGCAGTGCCTGGCACCACGAACCCGTAATGCCTTCCTGGCCTTTCGTTCTGTGGAGCCGAGGGAGCACCATCCTTCAGCCACAGATTTGCAGCCTCAGAATCATTCGTGTCTCTTCCCTCTCCCACCCCTTCCTCCCGTTTTAGTCAGTGGGAGAGTCCCGTTGACTCTACGTGCCAGTTGTCCCTCCCTTCTCTCCTTTTATCCGCACACAGCCTCCACCGTGGGTTACGCCATCATTACCTCTCCCTTGGACTTATTCTCCCTGCTTCCAGTGTTCTTCAATCCGTCCTCCACACAGTCACCAAATGGATATTCCTAAAATACAGATCTGACCATGTCACTGGCCTTCTCGTTTCTTACACAAGATTCTCCGTCTCTCAAGTGCAATCATTTTCTCTGACTGTCCCCCGTGCCTATAAAACGCTCCCCTCCTCATCTCATCCTCCTAGTCTTCCTGACTTCCTTCTGGTCCTGTCTTACCCAAAGTCCCAACTTCTGCAAGCGGACTTTCGTAGTCCTTCTAAATCTTAGCGCATTCCCTCCTAGCTGACTCCCAATTTATCCTGTATGTATCTTGTTTGTACATAATTATTTGCATATATTGTGCCCTTCTTTAAACTGTGAGCTCCTTGAGAATAAGGGACTGGGTTTTTTGTTTGTTGTTGTTGTATGTGTGTATATATATATATATATATTTTTTTGCCTTTCTTTGTATCCCTAGCACTTAGCCAATGCTTGTCACATAATAGATGCTTAATAAATTCTAGTTGATTGGTGTTAGTAAAAAAGTGACTCCAATATTAAGCCATATTGGAGGCTCTGCATTATTACCTCTAGGATAAAACACAGAACCATCAACCTGGCCCAGCCCTCTTCCCTCTGGCCTTCATTTACCTTTCCAGTAATTTTTCATATTCTCTTCATATGCACACTGCACACTGTCCGCTCCAGTCAAATAGAGTCTGTTAGCTGTTCTGCTGTGCCCTTTAAATTATGCTTCATCCTGCCTTCGCACAGATTGTCTCCCATGTCTGGTTGGACTCTGTCCTCAGCTCCACGTTGTGGGGTCCCAAACTTCTTTAAAAGCACAGCTCGAGGGCCACCTCCTGTATGTGGCCTTCTGGATCTCATCAGTTAATAGTGCTGTTCCTTGTGAGGTGGCTGCATTTACTTACCTGCATACACATTTTATCTCTCCAGTAGAATGTAAGTTTTCCAGCAGGGACTGGTTCCTTTTTTGGGTCTTTATATCTCTGATGCCTAGCGCACAGTAGGAGTAGAATCAGTGCTTGTTGAATTGAAGAGGAAATGACTGACCCCTAAGGAAGATACCAATATGAATTAATCTTGCCTAAGGAATAAGAAATAGTTAAAATGTCATCTGGCTGAGTTGCTGCCCCATAGATGTCCATTGGGAGTCACGCCCCAAATGACCCAAGTTTACCTTTTTACTTTAAAATCATATCCAGTATGGGTATTTGAGGATCTTTCTTTAGAGCCCCATTTAGGCCTTGCTACATCTTTTGGAATGTCCTGAGTTTTTGCACCTAATTCTATATTTGGGGTGATTGCATATTCCCCAGCATTGAGCTGTAACTGAATACCTATGTGGCAAACACATCACTGAAAGGGGAAGGCAAAGCCCGGTGCACAACAGATGTAGATTTCAGTGGTGAGTTACAGAAAAGATGAAATGCAGTCAGCCAGAGCTTGGCTGGATTCAGAGGGCAGAAAAGTATCTAACAGTCCTTGAGTACTTCCAGATGAATCACACACTCCTGTGGTCCTGTAGAATCTTCTGTTCCTTTGGCTGCCCACTGACACAGGTGCTAGTATCTGTGAGGGTTGCAGGATGAGTCTAACTATTCCTGGTAGGGAAAAACTCTTCTTATGACATGTCTTTACATACACATTTAACTGCTTGATATTTTAGGAGTGCTAATTGACCTGGTAGACTGTGCCTGAACTTGTAGACAGTTTTTTTGAGTATTTACTGACCAGGACATAGGAGTCTACCTTTATGGACAGTTTTTTCCCCTATACTTACAATTAGCCTTAGGCCTTGGGCCTTGGCATATAATCTAGACACTCATTGGCCCTAGATATAGACATAGGAGGGGGGAGATCTATGATGGGCTAGTTTTCATTCCTGAAGGTGATAGGGCCTGAAGGAAGTGGTTATCCCAGAGCAGAGCATCTGCTCAGCTCAGATAACTAATAAATATTGTGAGAATGATCTTGATAGAATATGCAGTTATCTTAGAGTGGGAAGACGGGACAAAACTTGCAGAATTTAGGGGAAGAGAAAAGAAATCCTGTTTTTCTTTTAACAAGCAAATTTAAAAGGCTGCCAAGAGGTAATTCTTTAAAGAAAACAATTCAACATGCAAGCAATAAATATTGCAGTAAACCATCTTTAATACAGAGTTTCTTCTTATGAAAGAAAAAATGTCTCTTAAAATGAGGTTTACATCAGTAGTTTCGGTTTTTTCCCATAAGTAGTGATAACACGTTAATACTGACTTGATCCGTTACCTGGCCTCACTTCTGCAGGTAGCAGCAATTCATACATCAGTCTCTCCTTAAACCACAAAATCAAACTAAGGCATTGCTAATGAAAAAGGCAAGCCAGCATTTAGAAGCTGCCTTTTCTTAACTGTTCATTTGCCATACAAGCTGTAGAGGGAAATTCATCTTACCAAGCCACAACTTTGTAATGATGATTTTGGGGATTCATTAAGTCAAAGGGAAAGAACAAAGCATCCTAAACTTTTTTGGGGGGGTGGCATTGAGCCACATTTTTCACCATGGGTGTTTAAAAATACTAGAAATTTCCTACTAGAAATATATTCATATTGATTCCCAAAAAGGTTGGGCATTTAGGGATACAGTTTGACTTATTACCTCATGTGATTTCACTGCTTTAGAGAGGCTGTTTTGTTGAAATGCACGGTTATTAGCTGGTTGTAAAACAAAAGATGACACATTGTTCTTATCAAATACTATGCTCATTATTTTGGAAAGATTTTATTTTTTCAAAGGAATGCAAGCCTCCAAGATTTCAGTGTGTTCATTTGACCAAATGGTCAAGGGCTGTCGATTTCTCTGTAATATGAGTCCACAAGCAGAGTACCAAGGACAATTCAGTGAGACACAGGTCTGCCCATAGATGACCCATAATGCTTCTATTTCCTTTAAAGAATAACTTTTATGTTAGATAACTGGTGACTGCAGAATAGAAATGCAAAGCAGCTTTTCACAGTGAACCCAATAATGGGGTCATTATTACCTTTTAAAGTAGGCTGTGGGTCATTGTGGAATTTCATTGTTATTAGATTAGAAGCAATACTAAAAGGTGTGCCCAGGGACCATCACACCACCCCCGGCTCAGATTTGTCTCCTTGATCTCTTGTCTGGATTCCAGAGCAGTCTAGTGATGTGATCTGGATTGTAATATACTCAGATATTACCAAAGAAACCTTGCAAAACTGCCGCTGGAAGTAGTTCAGTCCTCCATTCCTCCCCATAAACTCTCTTCAATCTTGCCCACTTTGCCACAGAGACCGAGGGATTAGCAGTTCCAAAAACTATAGAAAAGTCAGATAGGGACAGGCTGCAGTGGGGTTAGAGCCAGGATTCAGTTGGTTCTTTTCTGATCCTCCCCTCAAACTGGTTTGAGAACACAGAAGGAAAAGAAATTGAGACACAAACCTTGGTGGAGGGAGAAGTCCCCTGCATTGTGCTCCAGGGAAATCTGGGGAGACAGAAGCTGTGTTT